GCCCTGATGGAGCAAGGAGTGGGTGTGGGACACGGATGACATAGAGGGGACCCTCCACGGTCTAACAGCCAGAAGTGAAAGAAGTCCGAGATTTGCTACAAAGTTTAAAAGCATAGTTGGGCCACCAGGCATCCATCACAGCACTGCGTTATCACACCTCTGCTCTCTTCTTCCTCTTCGCCTCCGGCCCCTCCCTCCAGATACCCCGAACCACTCGCAGGGCCTAGAAGCATGTGTTCAATCTCATCGTTTCACATGCTGTCGTTTCACACGTTTGTACATGCTGTCCCCCTCTCCCTCCTTCTCTACCTTGGAACTCCTACTTATCCTTCAAGACTCAGTTTACATGTCACCTCCTCCAGGAAGCCATCAGAGGTCCCCAGTCTCACCTGGGTACTCCTCTAAGCCCACATCTCACCTCTGCACTCTGTACTGGCATCTGTTCACAGGTCTCATTCCTCAACCATAATTAATATTCATCTTAATAATTAATTATTTAGTTTTACATCCCCAGCAGCTAGTACAGAGTTTGACATAGAGGTGACATTCAATAGACACTGGTTGATTGAATGAATGAACCAGGAAACGAGCCTATCCCCACTCAGGTAAGTGGTCATGATAAGATAGGATAGTTATATTGAGGGTAATTAATAATTGCTACCCCCAGATACGAGGACTGTGCCAATCTCTTTATCCAAATTATACAGTCGCTCCCCTATACTGAGCACCTGCTGATGTGCAGGTGCGGGCAAGCCTCTGTACACATGTCTTCGTCCCAGCAGTGTGAGGCAGGCATTATTCCCCGAGGCGCGAGAGTGGGGCGCCTGCCCGAGGCGCACAGCTTAGAAAGGGGCAGAGCCAAAGGCCTACGCTAGGTCTGCCTGACACCTTCCCCTGAACCGTGCGTGCCTCCCCCCAGAGAGGGTCACTGCTCCTTGTTCTTGCAGCAGACCCTGATCGGCCTCTGTCAGCCCCTGTTCCCAACCCCTCGGCCCCTCTCTGGAGGCCCCAGTCCCAGATAGCTCAGCCTCACGGTTCTGTGTCCTGCCCCTTACTGGGAAGTCTGCTTCCCTCCACCCCCAGGACAACCCCAGAGGGCCAGAGTGTGCGGAGCCCCGAGGTCCGCGGCTGGGGCCGGGGAAACAACATGGGCCTTCGGAAGCCCATGTTCGGAGCTGCTTTGACTGGCAGCTGAGTGATTAACCCTTGCACAGCTGTAATAAACAGAGGAGCTGCAAGTAAACACACCCTAATGGATCTGGAGAATAAAACCCAACAGACACACACACCTCTTCACAATACTCTTCTCTCCCCTGCCACATTTATTTCCCGACGCGAGCCTAGCTAGGTGGAAGGAGACTTTGGGGGACAGCTGGCCCATCCCCCCGAAGGCTTCCCCTGAGACCCCATTCTTCACCTGTTGCACTGGTCTCTTAGGGCTTGAGAAGCATAGGTATCTGGGAAGGCACCCTGCTCTCCACTCCCCGCTTCTAACCCAAAAAGGAATAAATGCCCAGAAACTGCCTGGGCATTTCCTTATTAGAAATGCATTCCACTGGTGTTCCCTGGAGAAATTAAGCCAAGCGTCTCCGTGCGGGTCTTCCAGGACAACAAGAAGTCTTGGGGGTACCCGGTGAAGGGATTCATTCCCCAGGCCTTTCCTCAACACTTATGTGTCAGCCTCCGTGCCGGGTGCTGGAGAGGTTGGGGAAATCAGACGTGACTTTGGAGGGAGGGACAGACACAGACCAGTAGGTGTGAGGACTGACACCTAAATGGGGTGGTAGAGGGGTAGAAAGGAGGAAGGCATCAGTTGCTTGGTGATGAGAGGAGGAGAGGTGGGGCAGTCAGGACAGGCTCCAAAGCAGAAGAACCCCCAGGGCTGGATGCTGAAAGATGAGTAGTATCCTGAGGCGGACAGAGCAGTGTGTGGGGGGGGGTTGGTGGGGGGAGAGCACCAGGAGCACTGACAGCCTCAGAGGAAGCAGACAGCAAGGCAGAGAGCCTTGGGGAGCAGTCGTCCAGCCGTCGCAAGCTGTTTGCAGAGCTTAAGTATGTGGTACCAGAGAGGGTGGGGCAAAAGGCAAGGCAGGGTGCAGGTGCAGAGCCTGAGGACAGCCTGGGATTTTAAGGGGTTTTAAGAGGTGGGATGATACGCTTTGAGCGGAACTTTGGAAAGACTGCTCTGGCTGTAGTGCAGGGGATGGATGTCGAGGGGAAGGAGCGCTGAGCTGGAGGCCAACAGACCAGTTAGGAGGCAAATGTCATTTAAAGGCCTACACAGTTTTAAGAGTTCCACCCTCTTTATATATATGCATATGCACATCTGTCTATCTGTCTGTCTATCTATCTATCTATCTATCTATCTATCTATCTATCTATCTCTCTATCTCTCTATCTATCTATCCATCCGTCCATCCATCTACACACAACAAATATGGTGTATTTGTTACCTCCACTAGATGGAGTAGGAAACTAAAGAACAGAGAGGCTAAGCCACTTGTGCGGAGGGCACACAGTAAGTGGTAGTCTCAGGATTTGAACCATCCATGCAGCGTGAGGCTCCTGTTCTTACCCGCTACCCTAGAGTGCCACTCCACCGAAGACAACAAAGGTCTGAGTCAGGGTGGCATAGATAGAGGAAAATACTCCTGATGGGCCTGCCCTGTATTTGATGCTCTCCTGGAAGAGCTTCTGGCTTCCACAGAGAAAGGGGTGCAAGCTTTTAATTCTGAGATCCTTGAAAAAAACTACAGCAAAAATGTTAAGGGGCTGGAAAGTCCCAGGGCAGGGTCATGATAGAAAGCCACCAGGGGTCACTAGAGTCTCCAGGGACACATACTTGGGGAATGGAGGTATTTGGTTTGCTTGGGGCGGAGGGTGTGCCTGCAAGCTCTTCAGATGAAGGAAGGCAGGGTACAGGCAAGTGAGAGAAGGGTGTGCCCCAGTGGGAAGGGTCCTGGTTGCTTCAACTCACGGCCACCTCTGCTGGGGAGACTGAGGTCTCCCCAGGTGGCTCCTGAAGGTGCCGTATGCTTGCAGGCACAGGTGGGTCAGGCCCCCTTATCATGTGGCCAAGGTTATGACTACCTGCACCCCCTGGGGTGGCTCCACTTGCCACTCTCCCAGCCATGCTCTGAGGAGGGATGGGAGCTGGTAGGGGTGGTGGAGGGCAATGGTCCTACGCAGGGATCTTCTAATAGAAGAGAGGCCCCGGCTCAGAGAGGGAGGCTACGTGTAGCTTCTGTGTGACACATCTGATGGTTTGCAAAGCTAGACTTTCAACTTACTGGCGCTGAGCTTTGGACAGCTTTGTGGAGCCTCATTTTCCTCATCTGTAAAATGGGAATAAAACTCCTCCCTAACGCAGGGTTGTGGGAATGTCCAAAAGTGAATACTGGCTGCTAGCATGCAATTCTGCACACTTGTAGAACCATCATTGGATGTACATGATTCTATTTGGTGGGCCATGTTGCACAACTTGAAGCTGAAGCCAGGGGCTGCTGATAGTTGAATATAACATTGAACTTCAGTCCGACTTTAGGGGCTGCTAGGTAGTGGTCAGCCAAACAATAAACAAGGCATTGCTAGGCTCATTCCTTCATCTTTGTAGAACTCAGCATTGTGTTTGACTTCTGAAAGGAGTCACTTAGAAGCACACATTAGCAGCATCGGCTTGCTGAAGCAGACAGGGGCGCCACTAGGTAGGGATTCCTCTGAGGCGGGCTGAAAAGCCCAGAGAACAAGGGATGTTTGGGGAATGGCTAAATCACGGCTTTTCTACATAAAGCAACGCAAAGAGAGCAAGACTGAAACCAGGGTCACCATCCTAGACAAGGACGAGCCCAATTAGCCAATCAGAGGCCTGGCCTGACAGGCATCCGGGCAAACACCTGTTGGAACCGTAGCATCTCTTTACCACCACAGGAGAAGCTTTGTCAGATACAAGACGGTCAGGAGCAAGGCAAAAGGGCTGCTAAAATCATCAGATCGTGACAAATAAACACACAGCCCACCTTCCCCGCACTAGTGGAAAACCCAAACCCACCTAAGGGGTGTTTACACACGAAGGACTGGACAGGCTGGTGCCACGCTGGGGCTTGGCACCAGAACTCCTCCAAGGCAGACTACACGAAGCAGATACCTTCTGTCTGACAGCTGCATTATCCAGACCCACGGCATGGCGGAACCAGCACAGCAAATGGTTTACAACCCCCTACCCCCCCCCACCCCCAGCACAGCTTCTCCTGGCCCCTGCTGTTCGCATCAGTATCTCTCTGAGGCTGCTTTCCCCACCGCAGGCGGCTGTCTCCTCTAGCCCAGGACCCACACTCACCTCGTTCAGTCAAGGACCCCACGGATGCCCACCACTGCTCAATTCCCCTGGATGCTTAAGAAAGAGCTTTTAAAAGGCAGCAGAAGGGGCTGCCGAGTTCCCCACCTAACCAGCTACAGTTTCAGTGTTGGTTCATATTCTGGGCGTTTCCTCCAAAGTCCCCCTAGATTCCAAGTGTTTTGGAACTCAGGCATAAGCTGCTTAGAGCAGTGCGATTCTGCTGATGGTCCCTTTTTGAAGAGCTTCCTGTGGGTTTCCCCGAGGACAACAAACCCCCAAGTAAGACGTGCTTCTCTCTTGTCCCATCCCTTCACCCCAGACACACGGCAGTCCTGCGCACCAGGGGGTGAGGTCCGGGACAAAGAGGGCTAGCATTCACAGAGGGGACCATGAAGAGCAGAGCCGAGGATCTGGGGGCCGACATTGGAAGGGGAGAGGCCGGGACGGGTGAGCAAGGTCACTCCTCCTACAGTTGTGGCCAACTTCCCACGACCTGGAGGACAAGGCTCAGGGGACCCAAGAGTGGGGTCCGCCTTGGCATCCTGGAATGATGTCACCTCACCAGCAAGCGGCCTGGTGTCCTACCCTGGGGGGCGGGGAGGGCCTACTGACTCCGGAGCGTGGGGGGAGCGCAGGGAGCGGGTTCGCGCGGAGGGCAACTCACGGAGGAGAAGTTGTGCGGGCCGCAGAGCTCGCCGCGGTACTTGCAGGAGAGCAGCATGTCCTCGAGCTGGTGGCCCAGGCGGTCCATGAAGGCGGCGCTGATGCCCTCGAAGTGGCGCGGCGGCAGGAAGAGGCGGAAGTCGGCCAGCTTGCGGAACCACTGGCGGCGCGGCTCATCGCCCCGCAGCAGCTCGCTGACCAGCGGGCGTGCGGTGCGGTTGGGCAGCAGTAGCCCGAGCCAGTGGCCGGCGTAGTAGAGGTCCCCCTTGGAGAGGCGCGGGAAGCGCAGAGGGTTGTTGTTGCACACGGTGACGGCGGGGAAGGGCAGCTGGCGACTCCACTCGCGGTGCACGCGCGTGTGCGACGGGAAGCTGAGCCAGTAGAGCAGGCGGTTCGAGGACCAGGACAGCAGCAAGCCGAGGGACGTGCAGAAGGCCAGCACCCACAGCGCCCGCCTCTGGAAGGAGCCGCCCGCCGCCGTGCGCCCGGCGCACATGTGCCGCAGCCCGTGCAGTTTAGCGCGGCTCAGCGACGGCCGCCCCCTGCGGGCGCCCCCCGGCCCCTGCAGCGCCCGCTCGCGCTCGCCGCCCCTGTCGCCCCCGGGCTGCCCGGCCGCCGCCACCGCCGCGGGCGCCGGCTCCTCGCGGGCCATGAGGAAGCGTCCCGGGCCGGTGAGCGCGGCCGCGGGCAGCCGGGCTCCGCCGCTCCGGCTCATTCATTCAGCCCGCGGCTGGCGGCAGCGGCGGCGGCCCCGGCCGGGCGGAGCCGCCATGGGAGTCCGCAGCAGCAGTGGAAGCAGCAGCAGCGGCCGCCGCGCGCAGCCCGCGCCAGGGAAGCGTGCGCCCGAAAGGAGCTCCGGTGGCGCGGCATGCCCGCCCGGCGCCGCCGCCGCCGCCTCCGCGGGCGCCCGCCCGGGACTGAGCGCTGCTTCGGCCCCGCAGCCCCTGGCCCTGGCCTCTCCCGAGCGCCTCCCGGGCTCTCCGGGCCCCTAGTCCTCCTGCAGAGTGCTTGGCCCGGCCGCTACCTCTAGAGGGGCCCCACCGGGCGCCGCCTCTCCCGTGCCCGGGCGCTGCGCCCGCCTCCCTTCGTCTTGGACCTCGGGGGACCCTGCGCCGAGTCCCCCCTGCTCCGCCTAACCCCAGCTTTTACGCTGGTCCGGGGAGAGCAGCCACTCGGCCACCATGCCTGATGTGGACATCCCCAAGGGCCCCGCCAGCCCAGCCCGTAGCCCAGCGCTGCTGGGACCCGGGAGGGAAGGCGCCAGGGAACGAGCGCCCCCAGAGGCTCACCGCGGCTCGGGCGCCGCGGGTGGGGTGGGTGTGTACCGGGGCGAGGGGTCGCTCAGCCCGCTGCTGCGCTCTTCCCCTTGCCTGCGAGATCCGTTCACAGCTCCTGGGGCTGCGCTCGGCCGAGACCCTTGAAGGCTCCCCTAAGTCCCGCGCCCGAGCCCTGCGTGCGACGCGCCCGCTCTCGCCCCGGGCTGGGGGCTTCTCGGGGCGTCCTGAGGGAAGCTGCTTGCTGCTGGGCCCCTTCCGGGCTGCTGGCCAGAGGAAAGTGTCGCTTCTCCCCTCGACTCTCCGGGGTGTCTCGAGTCTCCAGAAAAGCCCGGCCTCGCTGTCCCCCTGTCTGTTCTTCTCCCTGCCCCGGCGGCGCCAGGAGCTGGGGACTGCGGAGCCCCGCCTGCACCTCTCGGCGGGGTGACCCGGACTCGCTGCTCCGCGCGTCCTTCTCTCAAGACTGCAAGCCCACGGCGGCGGCGGCGGCGGCGGCGGCGGCGCCGGCTGCGCTCCTCTCCCGGTTGCCCGGCCCTCCTCGGGCCCCGGGCGAACTTGGGCAGCGGCCGCGCGACGCTGGCGCGGCTGGGCTTCGAGCACCTGCTCCTCAGCTCGCTGGCCCCAGGGCTCCGGGCGGGCGGGGCGGCGGCGGCGAGCGCTGTGCGCTCCTGGAGACGCGGTGCTGACGCGCCCGGCTCCTCCTCGCTGCATTTTAATTCCTGGCCACTGTGGCCGCTGCACACTGAGCGGGGAAGCGTCTTGCTGGAGTCGGCCGCCGGGTGGGGGAGGCACTGCACAGATGTGCCCGGGTGTGCGGGCTTGTGGGAGAGCTGTGGGGTAGAACCGTTGCGGGGCCATGTGTAGTAAGTGTGAGAACACTTCAGACTGGGAGATGGGCTGTACAGAGAGTGAGACGCTGTGTATTGTGGGCACGTGAACAAGTGTGTGTGGGGGGCTGTCACGCGCTGAGTGTGGGTAGGCTGTAAGTGTGTATGTGTGAACGGGTATTTCTGTGTATCTCGTGCATGTGAGCTTATTTGCAGAGGCTGTACTGTGGCTACCTGAGTGGGTGTGATGTGTGTGGTAAAGGGTGCCTGAGATGGTGTGTGTGTTCCGTGTGCGTGCGTATGTGTGCACTTGGTGGTGGGTCTGAATGGGCGTGTTGGTGTGCAGTTGCATAGCAGGGTTCCTGGATGTGGTGTGTGGTTGGTGTGTTTTGCGTGTGTGTCTGGGTGTGTGGTGTGTAGTATGTGTGTTGAGGTGCTGGGCGGGGTGTCTGGGCCTCTGGCCAGGTGGGCTCTGCCTCTTAGGAGCTTCCCAGGTGTGCCCCCAGCACTGGGCTGGAGGGGTCTGCCGCTGCGCCCTGGAGCGGTCAGCGGGCACAGCTGTCCCAGAGGGCAGGAGAGGGGAGTGTGACTTCCTAGGACAGGAGGCTCCATCTCTGCCATTCTCACACCTGGAATCCTACAGTGTGAGGGCTGATAATGTCGCCCTTCCCTCCTGGGCAGGTTCAGGGGCTCCCACTAACCCGCAGGCACTTTGGGGAGTTTTTCTTTAGCCTTTGCAATATTCCACTTCGGTGTGTTTGGGAGGATGGATGAAGCACATGGTATTCTGCTAGCTCCATTTCACAGGTGAGACTAGGGAGGCCAAGTATGCGGCCAAGGTCATACAACCTGCAAGTGGCGGATTGCGATTCTGCACACAAGTCCCCAAAGCCCTGGCTCTTTCTACTGCACCCCATGGCCTTACAGTTTGCACTCTCTGGGCCAGGCGCCTTGAGGGCAGGGCTGGAATCCTGCTTCTGCAGCTGCCTGCTATGTGTGGTGCACAGCGGGTCTCCACCCAGGCCTCAGATTGACCCCCTGAGGCCTCAATGGGAGAGGCGACTCTTCATTCAGCCCCATCACTCCATGGGATAAAGGAGTTTTCCAGACATTTTCCAGAGAGTGGACTTTGATGGGGCTTGTGGGGCAGGGTAGAGATGGTGTGAAAGGATCCCAAAGGTGGGGGGGGCACTCAGTGAAGTAGGGGGGATTTCGGGGGGCTGGGCCTGGAGAGGAATTTCACCTACTTTGTGATGACTATTAGCAGTGCTGCACAGATCTGTTGAGTGAGCCTCGAGTATCTGAGTGGTACTGTCTGGGCTTTCCCTCCTCGCTGACCTGGAGGGCATCCTGTCAGCAGGCAGTTCCCTGCATCTGGTCTCTGGAGAAGAGGACATCTGAGCCCCACTCCTTTTCACTCACCCCCCGCACACACACACACACACACACACACACACACGCACACACCTGTATTCACCAGCGGAAAAAGCTGGTGAAGTGGGTTTTTTTATTTTGGATTCGGTTCCTTGGAGCTGTCTGTTGCTGGCTTTGGGGGGAAGGCTCTGAATCTGCCAGTTTTGTGAGGCTTCTACCAGAGGCTCACACACCGGTGCTTCCAGCGTGGTCCTAGCGGTCCTGCGGGTTGCCACAGAGATGCACATCCCCGCTAAGGTGGGGAGACCTTGTGAGCTCAGTGCAGTTGTTAAAGAAGCAGCCAGGACAAGCACATAACATCTTCCAGAGTCCTAACTCTGGGCTGGCATGGAGCTCTGTCTTATAGAAACCTTTAGGGCGTTCTATGTTTCTGATATGTTCAGCTGCTGGGGGCCATTTCTTTCCTGGCAATTTCCCTCTTTAAATGTACACCTGCTGTTGTTGGTTGCCTAAGTGTCTTCTGTGCCTTGGGTTTTCCTGTTAATTGTCCAGATGGGTTGTTTTTCCAGAGAGGAGGGGTATCCTGCAGAGGCTCCCGGGGTTTTGGCACAGAAATCCCAAGGCAGACACAGGGATGGCTAGCGACCCTATGCAAGGATCGATGGCTCTCTCTGTGGCACACATACATAGTGAGTTCTCTACGCCCACGCCCTCCCGGACCAATACTTTGACCAGCTCGGCAAAGTCTACTCTTTCTTCAAGCCCCACCCAAGCATCACCTCCCAGGAAACTGGACCCCTCATGGCCCTTGCAGTAGTACCTTATTACTGTGTGTGTCCAGGCTTTCCTTCTGGACACGAACCCTTTGAGGACAGGGACTACACCTGATTCATGTTTGTGTCCCTACCTCTTAGCACAGTGTCTGGCACATTGACGAAACACACTGAGACAGGGGGAAGGGAAAGGACCTAGGATTTCTTGAATACTTCTGTATGCCAGGCATTGAACTGGGCATGCAAACGTATTTAGTCCCTCACTCCTACCCTGCAAGGGAGGAATTTTTGGTCCTCTTTTTATATTTGTGAACCAAGGGCTCAGAGAGCAGGAATTGAACTCAGCTCTAACTCATTCCAAAGTCCAAGATTTTCCCTTTCCACCATGCTTCTCCCAAAAGTATAATGATAAATAATAATAAACATACAATAAAATAAATATAGAATTTCCTAAGTGCTAGGGCCTGTTTTAAGTTACTTACACTAAATACAAGGGTTCTAAGCGTTCAATGCTCAAAATAATTGCATGAGGTAAATACTATTATTTTTGGTACTTCAGAGAAGAGGAATCCTAACCACAGAGAGGTTGAGCTACTCACCCTAAGCCACACAGCCCCTGAATCCAGGCAGTCTGACTCCAGTCCCCGTGCTCTTAAACCCGACCCCTTACCACGTGAATTTGCTTTCCTGTCCTAGAAGCCTCACTTGGCCAGAAAAACAGATTTGTGAGGCAATGCATGAGCTGACCCACAAAACCTCCCCACCAAGAAACTAGAATTTAGCATTGTGATTTCCCAATAATAAGCTTTCAAGAAAATCGCTCTTTTCTTGTTTATCTCTAAAACAGCTGTTGCTCCACATCTGGCATCCTGGCCTTTTCTTCTGTGTGATGTTTGCATGCGGTGACAGCAAGGCCCACTTCCCGGCCAGCCAGCCCACCTTCTGGTATGTGACTACCCCCACTAATTATAAACTCTTTCTTGCATCAAACGAGTTTGTTGTGAGGGGAGGTCAATTTAAGCAGATATGATTTTTCTGTTTTTATAATCCAATTTTTGGAGCTGACACTTGCTGGCTTGATGAGGCTTCTCGGGGCCCCCCAAATGTTCCTTTTTACCCTTAATCCCTGCTACTCAGGGGCCCGGCATTGGAAAGTGTCTGAGGGGCCACCCAGCCCTGCTCCCTACCTGCTACAGGAATCCCTCCTACACATGCCTTCTGGAACAGTCCACCGGTAACCAGTTCTATTCTGGAACATCTGGCAGTGTCTGAAGCTTCTTCCTTTCATCGGCATGGAATCTGTCGTTTTGTTCATTTCTCCCATTTCCCCTAATTTATCTCTGGAGACCCATACAACTAAGTTTGATCTTTCTTGCACATGTGAACCCTTCAAAATACTTTACAGAAGCAGAGTACATCGATGCTGAAAGGGGTTCTAGCAGTCGACCTTCCTAGCAAATTCTTCAA